CTCTAAATTAAAAGCTTCACGTACAATGATTTCATCGCCCTGTTTCTTTTATACACGGCTAACTTCATATGAAGAAACAGCATATTTGCTGGGGCTTCATTAAAATACATATTCAAGTATCACATTAAATCAGTCGCCTTAAAGTTTAGTGCGGAGTTCAAGTACTTAAATGTTTTCAGCCTTAGCTCAACAGAATAATTGTTACGTCTTCTTGACTTCCGATATGTTAAAATTTTAACTTTTTTTTTTTTTTTTTTTTTGATTAAATACACTAGATTTGATTTCGATTTGATATATTTAGTTTGATAATTTCCAAGGAGATTACAGCAGTATCTCTCAGTATTTCTAGGAGTATATTTCGCGTATTCTTAATTTACATAAATTTGCAGTCGCTTCGAACTGCAATAAAGATTCAAGTTTCCTTCCTTCATGTATTCTTAATAAGACCTACAACGACTGTCAAACAGATAACAGTATTTTAAGAAAAAAAATCTTTCTAATAAAAACTAAATGATTTCAGTTTAAATGGATCTTTTTTTCTTTATAGTCCCGTCGTCCACAATTAAGAAATTAATAATTGAACAAAAATAAAGTACAGAGCGCTACTGCTATCCACATGCAATAACTTCATTCAACAATTAAGAACCTATATATCTTTTCAATGAAAATATTTTAATTCATAAAAGAAAGAACGTAATTATGACATGATGCCATTTACAGCTATGCTGATATTATGTAACATATAAGTATGTAGCCAGTCTCAAAATACTTCGTTTCAAACAAGCAAAACCTTTAGAATGATAAAACTAATGACAATAAAGTTTAAAAACATACCAAGTAAAACAAAATACAGGATTAAAGTGGAAAAAATTATTTTTCAACAAAGGAAACAATAAAGCAAAAAGAAATAACTTTTCAATAGAATGCTGGCATAATCTAATTCGGAAGAAGATACGAGGCCATGCGCAAGAGAAATACAACGGAAATTACGTAGCCACTTACACAAAAGAGGAAAAATTCTCGGTGGCAATTTGTAAATAAGGCATTATCAATAATTTTTCAACAGGACATCAAATACGTAAGAAAAGAATTTAGACGCACACACACACATACATATAACAAACACCTTAATTACAGTCTAATCCCTCCAAGAGAAAATATTAAAAACCAATAAATTAATTTTAAATAAAAAATAAAATCTGAAGGCTTTCAGATTTTACATTACGCCCAAAGGGCCATTTTTTTAACGTTTTGTGTGTTACTTTTATTTATTAAATATGTTCTTCGCACTTAAACCACAAAATTCAGTTCAACAGCAATATCGCGAAATAATTTTAAAATGACCATATCTTTAGAATTTCGGATACACAGTCCCGCGCGCTAAAAGTATCCCCCCCCCTCCTCCCAGTACAGTGTTGCCATTGCTTACTTCGAAATCGTTGAGTTTGTTAATCAAAAATTCGTTAAAGTTTTACAAAATATAAAACGGATAATAAAACTAATTCCAGATTCCAAATTTGGGCTTCCAGATGCCCATAATCGGGTGGAAACGTACGTTATTCAAAATTTGATAGTTCTAAGTACCGTTGTTTCATCACAATGCAATAAACATACATACATTGATGCAGATTCTTCATTATTTAATTTCTTTAAATATAACACAGAGCTCTAATATTTGGAGGAAACAATTTAAAAAGTGATTCGCCATTTATTGTGAATAAACGCAAAATGCCAAAACGAAATTAATAATTCTTCTGGGCAAATTGCCCCTTTGGATTAAAAATAAAATAAAAAGTACATATTATAAAAAGTTTAAAAAAAGTATATAATCAGAGTCCAGCTGCCATTTCATAAAAATACTTAACATTTGTAATTAGACATTTAAATATTAGACATTAGATATAAATGCATTTTTATTTAAATCAACCAGATTAAAAAGTAGAAAAAGTACTTTTAAAAACTGCGCTCACTGTTTTTCAATCACTTGGTTTGTTACTCAGTAAGATCAAATTTAAAGTTAAATTCTTAGGCTTTACTGAATGGCAACACGCTGGTGTGTGATGAGAATAAGACATCTATTTGAGGCAGTGGCAACATATGCAACATATGCAACGTATGCTTTCAAATAGCTGAATTTGTAATTTAAAATTTTATATAAGATACAATTTATTTCCCAAGATGTATATTTAATTTATAATTTAAATAAATTAAAAAAAGTAATCTAGCATTTAAATAAACAACTTGACAAAAACTTTTGAAAAAAATTAGTATCATGAAAAAATACCCTCGATTCAATTCATATAAGTAATACAAGTTTAGAAACAAGATCTGACGCAGTGTTGTACCTATAAATAAAATTTTGAAAAAAATTAGTACCAATGAAAAAATACCCTCGATTCAATTCACAGGTTTAGAAACAAGATTTGACGCAGTGTTCTACCTATAAATAATGTGCAAGGTGCTAGGTATCATTCACCAAATTTCCATTAATCTTTCAATCAAACGCTTCTTAACAACAAACATTAGAGTACAATTCTATAAAACAGTAATGTACATTTTTCCCTAAGATAAATCTATAAACCACTGTCGAAAAGCTAAATTATTGTCATTCTTAAGCTATCGAAAAGATAAATACATATGCTACTTTTAAACGCAGAAATTGGGACTTTAAAATAATTCTCAATTCCTGGAATTCAGATATGCCACCTTTATCCCTGAATACTAAATGAGACATTGAATTTACGTACTTTATTTACAGCAGTTCTCATTACTGTAAAATCTCAATATCCTTAAGTCTTTTCGGAATTACATTTTAAATGCAGTAAACGTTACGTAAAGGGAATATTTTCCAACCAGAAATAGTTAAAATGCAAAACAAAAAGTTAGGAAAATATTTTGTTGTTTACATTAGAGAGGTACTGAGAAATAAAAACAGTTCACTCAAATGAACTAAAAATACTTTTAAATATGAGTTTTTGTAATTGAGTTTGGATAATGATGATAATATTTCGGAATAATCAAGTATTTGTTTATGCTTTCATTTGCACAGATAACTGCACTTCAGTTTTGATCAGAAGAAAAACAAGCAGTTGTGTGACTGAAAACAGCATGTAACTTTTCGTAAAAAAGTTGGAAATTCTTTTAGAGCAGGTGTTATTGTTTTTATTGTTTAACCAAGGTTATTTTGAAGGACTAAAACTGAATTTAGTTAAATTGCTCATGAAGAACTAAAATTTTATGAAACACAGAAAAAAATTTTCAGATTTAATATGACATTATTTAATCTCAGATTTAATATGACAGATTTAATATTTAATATGACATCCAACGTCTGTCATGCTCCTCCTTATTTGGTGGTTATGTATAAAATTTCACGTGCTATACACATAAGATTTATTATGTATGATTAAAAATTATCCAACAACGGTATCATGATATCACATCAACATGATATTACGACATTATAATTAACAAAGAGCATGCAAAATTAGAAAAAATTCAGCTTTAGATTTACGTCGATTTTATAGAAAATTTGAACCAATCTAATTTGATAGTTCAACAAAACAGATATAAATCTGAGGTTTATTTGAATTTAAATTTCATTTCCACGTTTTTTTTTCTTCCACATGTTGAAAATGATAAAATGTAGAATTTTAAATCCTTTACTGTTTTGACTACATTTAGACTGTACTAGGAAATTTTGTTAAAACTGCTCTAAAATTAGCATATTATATACTAGATAGGAGTAGAAGTATCAAGAATTGAGAAATTTTCATTATTAAGGTGGCTTTAACAGGTATTTCACACATACAAACCCCAAAAAAACACTTTCCTACAGCGGAATGCATTCATTTAATAAACAAAGCGTAAATAATAAACGCATATTCTTACAGGTTTTTCAAACATCATCTCCCAGGCTAAGGCATGCATGTAAATCAAAATAATGGCCAATGAACTAAACGAAAGTGAATGGTGCAACCAAAAATATTTAGACTTCCAACACGACCTATGCCAAAATTTTTATCTTGTACAAGAAACGGATATAACGGCATGACAACACGAAATCGTCAAATATATTTATTCTTATCGTCAGTTATAATGCAAAACAGATATTAGCAATAAAAATTATATTTCAGAGTTCAACAAACTTGCAAAAGTGCTATAACAAAAACAGACTTTTTGCATACAGTATAAAAGTAGAACTTGAAAACAGAAGCACGCCAACGTAAAACTCAAAATTAGGCAAATCAGACATTTTATTTTGCCGTCGATTTTGAACATTGATTAGAATCGACTTCATCTCCGCTCTCCCTTTTGCAGAATTCCTTTCACTCGTTAAGAAGAAGCACATGTGTCTGATCGCCAGTGAAACTGATAGAGTTTTGTTCAAAATCTACTCCAAAATAAAGTTACTGTTCTGCCTGATTTTGACTTGAAAATATATTTTAACTAAACAAAATTTCCATTTTTAATTACTGGCAAATTTATGCACGTTAAAATGAAATTCATAACATTAAGACTAATGTAATAATTTTGTGATTGTATATTTTAACATGTAGGTGACTAAAAACTTAAGTTATCGGTTGATTTTTTTCCTTGCTTTCCTTATTCAGACGTTTCTGAAAAACTTTATAACTGATTTTATCCATCCCACTGTTTTAACGAATGTTTATACAAAAGATAACTTAAAAATTTAATTCTCTTTTCTACTTTACAGCAGCGGGTAATCCAAGTAACTTTCGCGCATATAACACTTTTGAGTAAGTAGACAAAGAAGACATGCAATTCCCATTTTGGTTTGATTTATTTGATTATGGCAAAGCATGCTGGGCTATCTTCCTAATCCCTCGTTTTGAAGCATGTTTGCAAGAACAAATTCGAATTTCTTCTGAGCGGTGTGTATGTCCAAATTTAGAACACTTTCTATCTGGGGAGAAGCATCAGCCATATGAAAATTTTCGTGTGGCAGAATTTCGGGATTATTACATTCAGTTACTCACCTGAGCCATCTGCGAATGTCCTTTCCTCAAGAGAGTGGAGAAAGTAGCCCATGTTCCAGAAAATCGTCTTCCCCGTGTCTTGCCGCGTGTTTTAACGTCCATCTTCAACGCCACATTAGAAATTTTAATCCAGTAAGTTTCCCAAGCACAGCTCTGTTGTGATAGAGCTTCACTTTTACGTAATTTGCTGTAGGAGAATCATGCCGGACTTCCGCTGTAGCGGGAAATCGCAAAACAACGAAAAGCGATACGAGGTGACGTGTGAAAACAGATGATGATAGGCACAATGATATCCTCAAGATATTACACGCCGCCAAACAAAAATTAACAGAATCGTGCGGAATAGAAGTGCGAATCATTGCTATCACAAGATTTCGAAGAGAAAAAACGCGATGCTCAAAGTGAATGCACAAATTTATTTTGCAACAGATACGCACAAGTTTCTATACCCTATTTAAAATAATTTCTTATTTTTGCAAGATTCTTTTCATTTTTTTCCTCCCCAACCCTCGTTAAAATAGCACCTACTAATTATATATTGAGATCTTTCTTTTTTTATTACTTTGTCTCAGAATTCAAAATAATTTTTAAGTGATAATGCATTAATGAAATCTCATTAAAAACTGCAATAAATCAGTATTGCCACCCAGACGGTATAGTGGTTAGGGAAGCCTACCGCGGTACTGAAAGGCACAAGTTCGAATCCCGGAGAAGGCATGGATGTTTGTAAATGTGGCACTATGGAGGCACTAATATATGCCGATCCGAAAGTTCTCTCGCATGGTTTTGTGGTAAGAATGAAGGGTGGGAGATCCTCGGACTATCCCCCCTCAGGGTTATCTCACTCAAAATTGGGGTGAAAGTAGAAGTCCAACCTCCTTGAGGCTCTGGCAACCATTCTTCCATGATGGACATTAATTAAACTAATGGACAAAATAACTATAAATCAGTATTTCGAATTAAGGCGGCGTGCAGTCGACTATCAGTTTTATTAGAAGTAAAATGAGATTAAGGTTGCAAAAAAACTACCATGCAACAGAAAGAGTGAACTGCAATTGTTCTCATGAAATACAACAATACATCAAAAGACGCTGCTAGAAATACAGCTTTACGAACACAATGTTATTCTATAAAAATCTTTAATTTTATGAATAAGAATTTTTTTAATTTTAATACAAAACTTGATATCGGTTATAATGAGAAATGAATAAAACAAGATCATGACTTTTACTCAGTAAAATACCGTAATGATCTTTTACACCTTGTTCACTTTTCTAACGAGCGCTACCGATAGGAATACAGTTGGCGAATTTTTGGAAAATTGGGTAAACGATCTTAAAATTAATTGTTCCGGTAATCAGAAATATACGGTGCTTAGAGAAGGTGCAGGGAACTTACTTTTTTTAGAAAGGAATTACGAAATAAACAATGAGACCTTAAACATGTTGAGTGGTTTCACGAAATGATTAATGACATTTTGAATATGTTCAATTTATTGACCTACTGCTTTAAGGTTAAGAAGCTTTTACCTGTTTAATAAATTTTTAAAATTAGAGTTAAAATAATTTACCAAACAACAATATTAACATCAGTTTCAATTAAACACAATCACTTTTACTGCACACCGAGAAACTATTAAAACATCCAAGAGGCTTACTTTATCAGAGTTCCTACAGAAGTTCAGTTTTTAATTTTCCTGATTTTTCATTATCAAGTGGAACAATTTCCCTGACCGAGCATAATCAACTAGTTATCAACCTAAGTAAAAGTAACTAAGTAACATGCGTTTAACTACGATGCTCACTACTGTGAGGCAAAAAGAAACATATATAGGTGACACGCTTTCAAACAATTCAAAAAACAGGCAGGGTTTTTAAAAATAAATAAACACTTTCGCAAAAATTTCTTATTTCGCAAAACAAATTTATAGCATCAAGTATCCCTCCTATGGCGTTTCAAAATAAAACTGAAGAGCGTCACACATTTAACTTTTTTTGCAATTTCTCGACTTGTATGACGATTCGATTCAATTAAGGCTTTAATTTTATCATCATCAACTCCAGAATGTCGGACAGAACGTTGGTCATCTTCAAGCGCAAAATCTTGAAAATGAAATTTTTTTTACCAAATCTCACTCAGGCGTTCTATTAAGCAGTCAACATCAAACTCCACAAACTCCACCATCCTCAGCCGCTTTCTTGCCTTTATGAAAGCAAACATTTTAAAATATGCCGAAAATATTTATTTTTGCACCCCATGTTAAAACTGACTGTTGTAGAGTCATCATTAGTCTCCCCCACACCAGGAGATGTGAAGAATGCGCAGTGCTCTCGCCGGGACTCGAACCCAGGACCTCTCTCGAATACGCATCAAGTATGCTTCTAGTCACACCACAAAGGCATGAGAAGAGGAAGGAGAAAATACCATATATACTGCATCTTTTAAAGGGAGGACTGGAGATTAAGTGACCCAAGAGCCAAATCCTAGGGCTGACGGCTAATTATCTCGTCTACCACCTTTTAATTCGGACGCTACTTGTAAAGTCTTTATTTTATTTTATTTTTTTTTAAAGGAGACGTGGAAAATGTGCAACAACCTCGCCGGGATTCGAATTCGGAACCTCTCGAATACGCGTCGAGTATGCTTCCAATTACACCGCGAAGTCATGCGGAAAGGACGGAGAAAATACCTTATACCGTAAAGTTGTAGTTATAAACAAAACTAGGCGAAACTTGTTTCTATAGCAAACTAAAAGTGTCAGGTGCCAAATCTCAAAAGGAAAGAAATTATCCAATTTACAGAAGAGTAACAAAACAAACATAACGCTATGTATTTAAGCAAGCCGAAGTTACTTTCTTTCCAAACCAATATGTTTAGTTGTTAACATTTAGTAGGCATTTGTTATTAGTATAAGCAAATCAGAAAATGGCGTAAGAGCATGCTGCTTAAAAAATGGGGGGGAGAGAGAATGAAGATGAACAGTGCCTCATCCATATCAGGTTAATTACATTTTCATTTTTAGTAAGCAATTAATATCTTCCAGCAGAATCTAACAACACTAAGAACGGCATACGAATTTCAGGTGAAATTTATGAATTAAATGGAATAGTTAAAAATCAACTACATATAAGATTTCCCATATATATTTGTTTATCTTTTTTCTTAGAGGGCACTAAAATTCATTTTAACCTTTGGGCTCAATTGAAACAAATGTAAATCGAATTAAATAATTCAAGATATAAAATTTCTAAAAAGATATTTCATAAGAATTCTCCGCCCCCCAAAAAAGTGCTTAAATCTTCTCAATTAAATTTACAGAGCTGCTACCAGATTTTTATAATGTACACTATCACTGACAGTTTGAAAAACAAAAGTCAGTATGCTCTGAGGAAAAAAAACTGTCTAATGTTGTGTAATACAATAAACTGGACTAGAATATGTCAGTGAATATGGCGAGAATGCGAGAACTGTCTTCCTCAGAAATGCTTTCATCGAGGATTTTCTCATAAAAATGCACTGAATAAACCTCCATTTGAAAGTTCCATAATTTAATGCATAAAGTAACTACAAAGTTGTAAATAAATTGTACAAAAATCATGATTCAATTAAAAGATATTAAAATAATGAGAAAATTAAAATAGTATCCTTTTCTATAAAGTATCCTTGGCAGGAGGAATACGATTTTAAGTCAGAAGAGCAAGAACAGCCATAGCCAATAGTCATCTCTAAAATACAAAGTCTCGCCGAAGAATAAGGCCCAAATTTGAGGTCTTCAAATCTAAAATAACTGAACTTCTAGCGCATAATAAAAATGGACCAGCAGAAAATCAATCAGTGAAACTTTAGAGAAAGTTTAGTGACTCGTGTGCGAATAATATCCACTATAGTTACATTTGAACTTTTTTATTTCTCATCTATGAATCTTCTCCAGCAGTTTCCTCGGCTTGATTCTCATCAGTTCTTTCTCGAGGTTCTAATCTGAGCTTCAGCCAGCGATGTCCAGCAAGCCTGCTGACCACAACAGCATATGTCTTCGGTCTTGGCATACCGGATGCGGCGCCGGCAGTGCCTGGGCCGTACTCGACTTCGTCGACAGGGGGTAGCGGAGGATAAGGATTCTCCAAAGGTCGGATGAATTCGTTGGTCGTCTGGATCGGTGTCAAGACATTGTCAGGATCAGGAGATGGAGAGCACTGGTGAGTTTCTTCCGCATTTTCCTCTAAATCTTGGCCCCGACAGCTAACAATAACGCCCATTGAATAAACTGGTGAAGAATTACTCTCAGCAAGTTAATTAAAGTTCTTTAATATAGTTTTAAACCTTATATTCCAACCTGATTACATATTTCATTTACATGTTCTGAGCAACTTACATTCAGTTCTGTAAATTCAATTTCGATTGTTAATATATAATGGAAAATTTCTCACATTTTTGGATGTCATTACAATTATATTACCCTTAATCTTAGGAACTGATATTATAAAAACCTGGACATACCATTTCAGGCTAATATTTCATAAGAGGAGGAAATTTGCAAAAAAAAAAAAAATAAATAAATAAAGGTTTCAATAAATCGAGTATTCTGCACATAGAAAAGTTATTGTTTTAATTATTTTGTAAAATCCAGCAGATATTACTGAAATAATTTCTATAGAGAATCTATGGAAAGATTTTTGTGATAATGAATACCAACAGCAAACTGATAATAAAACAATATACGATTTTCAAATTTAACGGATAGTATTAATTCATGATACCAATAGAAATTACATCTTTATGAAAAATGCATCAATCAAAATGAAGAGTTAAAAAAAGCCTTCTGCGCTAAACACATCTGAGTATCACAGTTACAGCATATTACCCGTATCTAAAAACATAAAAGAATGTCAATCACCAGAGGAAAGAATTCACAGTATATTAAGTTCTAGATAACTTTCAAATAAAAGACCTCCTAGAAATTTTTTTTAAAATAATCAAAGCAAATAAAAGGCAAATGAAAAAAAAAAAAAAAAAAGAAAGAGACAGAGAAAGAAAGTAGGTATTTTTTAAGACCAATACAGTTTGAAGTAAAATGAAGAATTAAAAAAAAAAAAAAAAAAAAATTATCTCAAACTAGTACT